GCGGTTTCCTCTAGCGAGCAACTGCGCCCTCTTATTCTCCCCTCCCCACCGTCCCGTCTCTGGAAGGGATGGGGTTCTGACCTCCCTCCGCCTCCGGAGGAGGAAGTCCTGGGCTTTGGGGTTGGGTCAGTGGGAGTGGGGTATGATAGCCTTCGGTTGAAGAGCCATGGCTCCGCCGGGAGGTCGGCTGGTTAAGGATCCTGGAGAGCTTCTTTTGCAGCTTTAACGACGCCAAACGAAGTTTGTATCAAACTTCTAATGTTGCGAAACTTCTAAGGTGGAAAGTGCTGCGGTTCACAAACAGCTTGTCCCCTTGTGGCAAACCCGTGGAGCGGACGTTGGAAATCTTGCTCATGGATTCTGGCTTCCGGAGCCAAAACGTAGTTAACTTTGCAGAGATTTTTTTTTCTTGCAATGCGTCTTACTTTCGACCTAAAAGGATTGTATTGTGTAGTTGATCAGAGGCTGGTAACTATTGCCTTACAAACGTTTTGTACTTTAATGCCCGGAATAACCAGCCAAAAGGCCCTTGGCCTGGGATTTTAACTCCAAAATATCTGGAAACCTAATAGTTGAGAAATATTGCTAGATTACTCATTGAGTTCATGACATTTAATTTCACAGGGCCACAGTGCATTGCATCTATTAATCTGAATTAAAGGTTGTTAGAAAAAGGGTAGACTAAAACACATTTAATGCATCATTAACATAACCAGAGAAACACTACAATTCCATCATTAAAACAAATTGAAGGTTAGAATTACCATTGCAAGTTTTAGAATACTGTTGAATAATAGCCTTTTTTGTGTGACTGGCAGAAGTGTTTATGAATTGGCTGGTAATATTTCAGCAAAATGACTGTCCCTGTTGCGAAAAGTTATTACTATATTAAATGTTTCTATTAAATTCTCTCTTAAGCAGTACAAAATACCAACATGTACACTGGACCGAAACAAAATGAGTTTCAATGAGGAAAATATAACATTCCACATTTGAGTAGGAAAAATCAAATGCACAAATGTATGGCAGGTAACATCTATATTGGCCTTAATATGTATGAAAAAGATCTGAGAGTCATAGTAGGGTACAAGGTAAATGTGTGTCAACAGTGTGATGCAGCAGCAAGCAAGCAAGCAAGCAAGCAAGAATAGAAAGGAAAGGAAAAGTAAACGGGGTGGGGAGAGCTGAAAACAGTTCTACTGTAGGTTGAATCAACAGACATTCTATTTCCATCAAGGGAAGTAACAGTAGCAATGTTTTGTTTTGATCAGATCTCACCTGGTTAAATAGCCTCTTTGGGGCACCATGGTCTAAAAAGATACTGTATTAACAAGCTGGGATGTGCTCAGAGGAGTGCAACCAAGGTGCTAAAGGATCTAGAAAGCAGGTCCTATGAGGAATGATTGAGAGACTTAGATATGTTTGGCTTGGAGAAGAGAAGACTGGGAGGTGATGTGATAGGTAGATCTGTAGGCCTGGAGCAGCGATGGCTAACCTATGGTACGCATGCCACAGCTGGCACACAGAGCCCTCTGTGGGCACGCGAGCCATAAATCACAATCGAGAAATACCCATCCTCCAATCCTGGATTTTGGCACTCCACTCTGCTGGTGCAGTGGTCCAGCAGAGAGGTGCAATGACAACCATTACTGATCTAGCCCAATGGGAGATTGGCGGTCCGTAAGTATTTCTTTGTTAATACTGCTCATAAAAAAACACACCCAAGCATTTAACCTTTGCAGTACAGGAGCAGTTGTTCTTTCTAAACTAAAACCTCAGTATTCGGGTTTTAATTGCAGTGTTGGCACTTTGAAATAAATAAGTTGATTTCATGTTGCAGTTTAGGCACTCGGGCTCATAAAGGTTCACCAGCACTGGCTTAGAGGGTAGGGCCCAAACTAAGGGATTCAAATTAGAAGAAAGGAGATTTTGATTAATCATTAAGTGGAACTTCATGACAATAGGAACTCTTTGACAGTGGAACAAACTATAAAACAATAGGTTGGATGGCCAGCTGTTAGTCATGCTTTAGCTGTGAATTTTTTGTCTTGGTAGGGTACTGGACGTTTTCAGGCTCTTCTAACTACAAGCTCATGTTTCTGTGATTTTATGAAGGAAACAATAACTTTCAAGCAGCCCATTAGTTTAATGCTACCACCACAAATATCAGTAAAGTCCTGATTAAAACACTTCCTAAATTTGCTGTTGTTCTCTGTTCCTTATTGAAACTTCAGTGCTTCGCTTAGTGTTAAGGTGAGGTTGTTCCAAGATTTAACTCCTAATTCCTAAATCTCCACAAGCTGAGTAAGTCTTCCAAATTTGTCATTTTACTTTCTCCAATTTACCTTCTTTCCCAGAGATAAGCTGGAAATCTTAATTTTCTTTCAGAAATGCCAGTGTTGCATCTTCTGCTGTGAATAATAATGCTCGATTTTGGCTCCTACTGATTTTGAAGATCATTTGCTGCTTTGCTGTTTTGTCTGGGGGAAAAATCTTTAAGGAAAAGATTTTAAGGAAAAGCACCCAAGAGCAAGATGTTACAAAGGATAACTAATTTGCCGCTCATCATTCTATATCCCACACTTAATTATTCTGTTTTTGAAATTTAAGACAATTGTAGCAGGATTTCACATGAGGAAATAATTTTGAGCGAGAGTGAGAAAGCCTTCATAGAAATACGAAGTGTTTTATTTGTGCTCTGCAAATATGAAACTGTGGCAACAAAAGAGCAGCCAGAGAAATACTTATCATATCAGCCTTCCTTGAACTTTGTCCATTGTCACCAAGTATGTCATATCTGGGAGTATGCTTGTTTTCCAGTCGTCAACGGCCTGAATCAACACTGGATATTAAATAAATTTACATGAAGTTTGAAGCCTCTCAAAGCGGAACTACTATTCTAAACTTTTACCTTAACACTGAAGTGTTAAGAAAATGCTAAAATACAGCTACCTGTAAGCTTAAGGTATGTCGGAATACAAACAATGAATCAAAGCATGACAGGTACAGATATAGTATACCAGCCTGATGACTGTGTTACTCTTAGTATTTTCAATAATAAATCATGGGAAATAATTTTTTAAGGTGTAAAGTCTTTTTGATTACACCCTTGTAAGTTTGAAAACTTGCCTGGCATTAGGAGATAGCCTGACAAGAAAAAATCTACACACTTAATACAATATTTAAACTTTTTAAAAAATAATCCCTATGAGAAAGAAGATTTTGTTTAAATTTTGGGAAGAACTTGATAAGTAGTATTTGGTAGTGGAATGGACTGCCTTACAGGGTGGTGAACTCTTGTTCATCGGGAGATTTTTAACTGGTGTTAGATGCCCATCTCCCAGGGATGCTTTAGCATCTCCCCAGTGGTGCTTTGAGGTTGAACTTAATGACCCAAGGTGTTCCATCTAGCTCTGCAGTTCTTTGAGTCTCCTGTCTGGACCAGTGCTGAAGACTGAAACTACCATAGATACAATTCTGCTAGATGGCAAAATGTAATGCATAACAAGGAGGACCTATTTCTTGGAACACATTTCCTCCTCATTCTGAGTGTAATATGATTCCTTTATAATGCAGGTATGTGGACGAACCTGCCAGATGTAGTGTTGTTCCAATTTCTGCATGGAAATGCAGTTTCAAAGAGACTTGGATCTGCACAACAGCTTAGTTCTGGGTGAACAACAAAGCATCCATGCTTTCTTTATTGCAGCAAAACCATCAGTGTCTGAGGTCCTAAGATCTGTGACTAGGAGGAAAGTTATGAAAGGAGATAGTCCCCTCTTTCATGTTGCCATCCTGTAGCTCCTGTAAAATCTCATTTAACAGAGACATTTACATCTCCGTATATGTCCTTTGGAGATTTGGGATTCCTCCTGAACAATGTGGCTGTGAACTGCATTGAGAAGGAGAGTCAATTATCCCAAATCTGGTGGTAGAGACCTCTTTCATGGACAAATCTCCACCTGCAAACCCCTCCCCCATCAGCTCTCATGTTCTTTCCAACACCATTCACAGTGGTCACATGACCCTTTAGATAAAATTTTGAGGTTACAGAGGAAAAGAAAGTACAGTAAATTCCCTGTCATGCAATTCCTTCTGCACAGATGTCAAGATACAAGTCAAAATCTTGATGTTTCTTGAAGATTAACAAATCTATGGTTTGGCAGACTACAACTGGAATGGGCAACTTTGGCAGGGTTGTGGATCTTTTTTTTTAATTGGCTGGCAGTTCAGGGAGTCACACTACCAAGAGAGCACATGGCAAAGGAAGAAAAGGAGATGGTCAAAGGGGCTAACTGCCTTTTAAAATAATGTATTTGCTTTACATTGATAATTATTACTAAATAATTATTGTGTGTATGTATGTATTAAACAATGGCATAATTTATATATCTCTTAAATAAAAGGAAACTCAAGAACACTCAATCCAAAACAAGCATTTTAATTGTGAAAAGCCTCCCCTCTAGTGGCCAATTTTGTTTTAAAAATGTAAATTTGGGGCAGAATGCTAATCCCCCCCATACCTGGCAAA